GAAGGTCTAAGCTTCCTACAGCTGCAACCTTGATGAGAGCCGAGTCTCCAATTTGAATAAATTGTTCATCCTGGCCCAAGTGGCGAATGTCGTACATGTGATCTATCTGGTTCGAAATCATCGCGCTCGCTCCAGAATCGGCCTGCCACTGCTCGCTACCCTTCGGATTCGGCATGTACGGTTGGCATAGAAAAGCTTTGTCTACTGTGGGACGCTTGGTGACACGAGCTACAATTAGCATTCCAGATACATCAGAGGCAGCAGGCACAATCTTATCCGGCTCAGCAGTCGCGATCACAGCAGGCATAGGAGGCACCCTCACATCATGGACAGCATGCATTATCCCATCAGACTCAGTACTCACAACCACGTCAGGCACAGCGGGCACAATCGCATCAGTCTCATGAAAATCGGTCTCCTTCTCATAATTCTCGAACATCGCAGACAGACTCGGAGAAGCAACCCTGTGCAAATCTTGCTCAGAAAAACAGTGATTCCTATCGTGACTCGCAAGCATTTCAGGGTCAACACCGGGTACAGCAGGTACGAAAACGTCAGACGCCTTAAAACCAAACGCAGACTCAAGAAAAGAATCAAACTTGCCTCGAGGGCACACACTTCGTGCCATGAAGAGACGAAGAGGGGCGTCGCCAGCAGGAGGTAGAACGTCGCCTGGATCTGGAGAGGGAGAGGAGGAGGAAGAGGCCGCCTGAGGCACGCCGTGGTACTGCTGCTCCTGCTGCTGCTCAAAACTCGCCTGCTGCTGCGGGAAGGGCGCCGGCTGCTCCGAGACGTAGAAGGCCTCGTTGTAGACTCTCGGCTGATACGCGTCAGGACCTGCAGCAGAAGGGCAGTATGTTACGTTGGCCTCCTGCTGTTGGTGCGGCCCGCCGTCTTCGGAAAAATAGCCGAAGCCAAATCCCCCGCCGGCGTTGCCGTAGGAACCGCCGCTGTGGTTCCCCCCGTGAGCCGCGAGCCCATACCCGTATCCCGCCTCGGAAGGTGATGGGGCCCAGCTTGGCGTGGGTGCCGGCGCCGACGTTTGCTGCCATCCCGAGCTGCTTTCGCCACCGAACGAATCTCCGCCCCCGATGGCCAGGTGAGCCGGAAAAAAGGGCCGCGGGACGCTGGCAAGCTGCCCTGCAGGTACGTTGGCCGGCGGGAAATTGCCCCCGCGGCCGCCGCCTTGCCCACGGCTTTCGTAGGGGCGAGGCCCGTAGCCGCCGTAGCCCCGTCCCCCATCGTTGCGCCCCTGCATCTGCCCCCCAGCTCCGGGTCCTGGCCCACGCGGCGGCCCCTGAGGCGCATGAGGGTGGCCCTGACTCCAGCCCGCACCGTGTTGGAATTGGTACGACTGCTGTACTGATGGACCACCAACCCGCCCCAGGTTCTGCGATCCGCCTCGTGGATGAGCGGCCGCCTCGGCGTCCCTCCTGCCGCTCAAGTACGCGCTGATCTCGTTGTAATTCGCCAGGAACTCGCTGCGCAACTTGTGACAGTCAGCGGTCGCGTGCGAGGTGTTGGGCCCGTGGTACTGGCAGATGTACGGTCCCAGCTGCTGCTGCTGCTGCTGCTGCTGCTGCCGCTGCTGCTGCTGCGGTGGCTGCATCGACGCCTGTGGCTGCTGCTGCTGCTGCTGCTGCTGCGGTCCGCCGTGACCCATGCCGACAATGGCTGGTCTCCTCTGCCCGCCGCCCCGGCCCATGCCGGCAGCGACGAGGGCGTGCCTCGTCTCCTCTCCTCTCTCTCCAGACCTCCGCTCGTACCTCTGCTCGTGCTCAGCCGTCCTCAACGCCTCCTGCATTTGTGCACTCGACAACATGGGGTGAAAAAGGACACGCTCTTTAATTTTCTCAAATTCTGGCAAAAAACCCCGAGCGATGTGCTTGCACATGGACACTTCAGCACGATTATCACCGTATGACACCAGTCTCATCCAAAGCGCCTTAGCTCTACCAAAGTAGTCCATCAAACTTTCTCCATTCCTCTGACACAGCACATTCCACTGATCATCAAACGTCTGTCTTTCCTCGTTTTTACTGCGTCGGTAGTAGTCCAAGAAAATTTTGTACCCGGCTTGCGGACTCTCCGCTGCGAGCAATTGCCCTTGAATAGATTGTGCCGTGATCTTCGACAGCATGAAAATCCATACCTTCCTAGACTGCTTTACTCTCTCCTCACCAAACGAACGTTTCATCCAATCCACATTCACTTGAGCTGCAGCTACAGGAATCTCTGGGCCTCTCATTGCGTCAACCACTCCCTCGTTCTCCATCCACGCTTCAAACGCACTCGTGAAAATCCGCAACGCAACCTCCATCGATCGATTTTTGAGGAAATCATCACTCCAAACAGGGACCTCGACTTTGTCCCGCTGTTTCAACTCTACTGTCTGGGCGCTAGACGTGCCTGAATGGGCACGATGCCCCTGGTCCTGGGAGTTTGCCGTGAAAGCATGCTTGAGAAGGTCGACCAGCTGACGCATCGAGTCTTGCTGATCTCCCCCCGCCGCCGCTCTCCCTCCCAGATTGTCTTGTTCTTCTGCATCGGCGGTGAACGAATAGTTGGTTCCTCCATCGCCGGTGCCTTCTCCCGGGGAAGGATCACCATGACCTTGTCCCCCCGGAGGCTGTCGTCCGTCTCCATCCGGCATCTTGCGCGCGTAGACACAGCGGCCACTCTCTTGATCGAAACGCTAGCGTGTTGAGTAGCTTTGTGCGTGGGTGCCTCGGCGCGGGGTCCCGTAGTGGGAAACAAAAGGTGCCAGCAGCTGGGTACTGCCAACGGTCAAAATGTAGAAACTATCCGCGGGCGTGAAAGCCCTTCTACGTGGTGGAGCGTGGAAGCTCGTGTATAATATAGTTGTGGCGTGGAAGCCGGGTGGCGTGGTGGCCCTGATGTAAAGGTATATTTAGGGACGTGGGAGTCCTGAAGGCGTGGAAGCCGGGTTGGCGTGATAGCCGGAGTATGGGCGTGGAAGCCGGGGTTGGCGTGAGAGCCGGAAAAAGGACTTGATTATACACAGAAAAAGGAAGTGAGGAACCACAAGCCACGCACACAAATTCCGTTGTAGACACCCATACCCTCAAACCTGCAATATGTGATAAAGTTGGTACCACCAAATCTAATCCATAGCAACCATTGAACCCCCAAACTCCCCGCTCCATCTGCTCGGGAAATTCTTGCTCGCAATAATCTGTTGATGCTGTGAGTACATCCAACAGTGCTCACGTGTCACCAGGCGACAACCGACAAGAGAGCGGGCCTGCAGGTTGCTGGTACATACACCGCTGGTATCGCTCTCAAAATTATGAGCGGAGTCCCCAAATCTCGCCGCAAAAGGAGCTGACTAAAACGAAGCAGTACGCCGAGCTCTCCTTCGTGATGGGAATCTCTAGAGCATGCCAAGGGGCGTAGGAGTGTTCTGCTGTCCTATCCTGGCGTTATCGTTGTTCGGTAAGTGGTGTCACGGCCTCCGCAGCTGCCAAGCCAGCGGCTTCAAGTTTTGAAAAGCCCTCCCCAATTCGTCTTGGTTTTAGAGTGCCCAAAAAAGCGCATGCCCCCCCCCCCCACAGGCGATTTGTAAAAAATGACGTGGTTGCGCATACAACGAAATTTGCTATACTGATGCCATGTAATTTCTGTTAAAAATAAAGTCTTTCCACCGTGCGCAAAAAAAAAAAACCTGAAGACGAAGACAGATGATCCGATGATCCGCATTTGGCCGTGTAATCTCGCCGCGCACATACATACATGCAGCCAGCCGTGGAGTTCGAAGGGGTCAGGAAAGATGTGCACATACATAAGCACCTACATTTGAAAATTGAAGCGATAGTCACACCACGCCCTGTCCTCCGAGATGTCGGCGATGCACAAATCCCTCCCCCTCACTGTCCTGATGACCGTGCGATCTACCCGTATTGTCTCCACCTGCAGCGCTATGAGCGCAGCGCACAACTCGAGCTCTTCCGTTTCGTGCTCATCTTCTTCCTCGCTGCCAACCAACAGCAGGACAGCTGCTCACAAGAGGCAAAGCTGCTCATGCATCAGTTCTCCGGGGCTCATGGCGCCGTAGCGGCGTTTAAGGTTGACATCCCGGATCGGCCTCCTCCTGGTTCTATCCATGACTACTTGTGTATAGGGGCATGGGGCGGGCACTGGCTGCGCGTCTCGTAGCCCGCTGCCGTCTCGTGCCGTCTCGTGCCACAACGGCGCAGCAAGCAGCGCGCGTGGTCGTTCGGGCGGCAAATTTTGCTTGCAAATTTCTCTAAATGGCGAAATCTCAAGACATATTTAGGCAGAAGTCGCGTCGGAGGAACTTTAGATACCCCGAACTGGTCGTTACGAGCCAAATTTTGTTCTGCGCAAACACGTCAATGCGGGGCTATTGCAAGAAGCCTATTTTTCTCTCTTTTTTTTCTCTCTTTTTCTGTGCCAGATGGCCTTGTCTCTGCTTGCGTTGTGAAGTACCAAGATTGAACCAAGGGGGTGCACCTCTTTCTCTCCGGCCCATGATAGATAGTGACTGCTAGTCTCAGTTGATACCTCGCATAGCGCGAAGAGGGAGTGGAGGATTCCAGAATATCTGTCGTTGATTTCTATTGACTTGCGGACCCCTCGGGGCCAGTTTATTTGAGTGTACCTTTTTAGGGTAAGTTAACCTGTGACCACGGGAATCGACCGCGTCGAGTGTTGGAGGATGGTAAAATGTACTGGTGTTGGATCAGTACGGACATACGAAGGTACTGGGTAGAGAGAGATCGGAACGGTTTTTAATGTGAAGACAACAACAACAACAACAACAACATGGGCCATCATTAGGATGGATCCAGCGATGGTGCACCTACAGTCTTTTTCCTGGAACGTTCTGTAATCTTTCTTCTTTTTTTTTGCGGGTCACACGCGAAGAAAAGAAGAAAAGCCTTACCATGTCTTACAACACAAGACAGCTCTCCAAAAGAATGCGTGATGGGCTGATTGCTCTCGCAGTGCACAATCGGGACCCAAACGGCAGACCTCTCTTTTGCGCCCAGACACTCAACCATTACCTTCGCAGGTGCCTCTTCCCTGCCTTGCATTACCGTGCCGTGAAGAGCCTCAGCGATGGCGGGGAACAGAACGCGCGGGTCCGGCTACGGGTCCGTGGGAGGTGCAGCTGGCGAGGAATACCGAGCAGTGGCTGACCTACCTGGCTCTTCCGGACCCAGCAGCAGGCAGCAGCAATGGCCGTGGTTACGGCTGGGCGTCGCCTCGGTCGCCGTCGTCGCGAGCGTGGGCTTGCTCAGCGCGTCCCGGCTGCCCAGCTTCACCGCTCCTGCTGCAGGAGACCAACTGATCGATCCCGCGTCCGGCGGCGGCAACCAGAACCTGGCGCAAGACGCCGCAACAACAGCAGGAAGTGATGCACCGCATTTGTCCGGCGGCACAACGGGAGCGGCGGGAGGCGACAGCTCGGGGGAGGGGCTCTCCTTTATTGCGTCGAACGAGTACACGCGGCGAGGCGATATCATTGGGCTGGGCTACCCTTGGCTCCAGGTGAGCTACCTCCTGCTTGTTTGTATCGTAGCTAATATCCATCAGGAGGCGCTACTTCTGTAGGGTGCGGACGACCAGTGTTGTATGCAGAAAAAGCGGATTATCCTCCCAAAATCCAAACTTCACGGGTGTTCGTTTAGCTCCACACACACACGTGGTACTGCTGTGGTGTGACAGCAAACAACTGCGTTGCAGATTCGTGTACAATTGGTCGGGAGATGCGCACCTGCCCCCGGTTTCGTTTGTTGTTTTGCATATGCACAGTCGCAGCAGCAGTACATTTTACAGGATGATAACACGAGAATGCTCCTCAACTACAATGTACTCGCAGAGCTTTTCTCTATTTTCATGGTATGGTTGCACGCCATCGACATAAATTGTACCACACACATTCGAAATGGATACGCCGTTCTACAACAGACGCCGCCCACCACAACAACAAAACGAAATCTCTCTCTCTCTCTCTCTCTCTCTCTCTCTCTGTCCCTTGTGCTCGACCACCGCTACTGCTATATACTACTGCTGTGTGGCATGGGGATGGGTCACCCAATGGCCGAAAAAAAAATAGGACCGGATTCTGGTGGAGCCCTTCCGAACCACGACCCTGGAGGTGGTCTCTCCGAAGGAAGGGATGGTGTACTCGTGGACGGTCAGGCCGGTGACCGAGGTCGAAGAACAGGATGAGACGCCCGCGGAGTACGGGGGGCCGTCGGTCGATGTGGTGTTCGAGCGGGCGCCCAAGTACCAGGTGGTTCTTGAGGAGCGGGCGAGCGGGACCGGTGGGGGGGACACCGGGGAGGAGGCGCCATTGATCCGGAGCTCGGATGTCGAGGTCTTCAGCAAGTACGTGCGGAGAGAGATCAGGTCGCTCTTCGACGACGAGCGGGACCAGATGTTCGACGCCATGAAGGTGCGTGCGTGCGTGGTGTGTGTGTTTTGTGTGTTTTCCGTCAGGAGTCTGTTCCTACTGCTTTGCTCCACAGCGGAGACGGTACAATCGGGGGAACGCACCTCTTGGTGCGGTGTTTTTTTTTTTTTGTACTTCGTGTTCCTTCGTCGCTTTTTCAATCGCCGAAGCAGCGTATTTATCGGCCCGTTTTTTTTTTTTTTTATGCATTCTTCTACAACACGGTCGGGTCTTCTGTCTTCTGTACGCGTTGCGGGATAAGGTTTCCCGGAAAGTAAATGTTCCGGCACATTTGACGGTGCACATGACTTGCATATGACACGTGCAGCTTTTTTGGAGCAACTCGTTGTGAGTGCAGCCGGAGGCAGGCGCAAAACAAAGTGCTTCTCCCGCTTAGGCACTTGGTCACCTAGAGCACTACATTACCGCTGCTGTACAAAGTCCGCGTTATGGTGGGGGGGGGGTGTTTTCTTCCTTCCTTCACAAAAACCGTGCAATAGCACGATTTTCTACCGCAACACTGCTGCTGCTGCTGCTGGTATGGATGTGAATACAAGACTCGTGCAGGAGTCTGGTGGCTTGAGGCGACGTATGCGCAGGAGGGCATGCCCAGCGTTATCACGGTTTGCCGTTTGTCATCTCTCAACAAGTGCTGGTTTCCATGCCGGCAGCCGAAAGTGACGGTCGCATCATGTGATGCGCGGTGCGCGGAAAAACTCTCTTTGTGCTGCTCCCGTTGATTTCGCTTTCGCGTGGGCGTGCGTTGTGTGGAGGCATTGCTCCGCTTTCGTGGCGGCTTTGGCCCCGCACATTCTTGTGCTGTATCCCTCTGCCTTTGATCGATTCTCCCTTCTGGTTTCGTAACGTGTTGCTATTGGCGTGTGGGTGTGACATGCATACGTGGTTTCGTGTTGCGCAGGAGTAACTAACTACAAGTGCACCCGTTAAGCAACACTCGAAATATAGTTGTGTAGCTCCTGCGGAGACTTTGTTTTTGGTTAAGAGCCTCCCCGAGAAATAGAGCCTGAGTCTCGGCAGCAGCAGTAGGCGTTGATTGTGCATGCCACGGGCGGCACGTCAGACGGTCCTCGGGCATGCTGTTGCACAGCAATGTACGGAGGAGCCCCCTGCGCACCTCTCAGAAGGACGCGCGAAAAAAGACTCGCTGCCACGAGAGAAAGATTGGCCGAAGCATGAGAAAACATCGAACATGATGCACAATGCATCCAGGTACAATGTGCATACCCACGTAGTTGCTTTGTTCTTTTATTTTCCTATTTTATTTTTAGTCGGGGAATTCTTTCCACACAAGCCGCATCACGCCAGAGGCGTGCGCCGGACTACCAACTAACAATTGCATTTTCAACAGGTTGTATCGATGCTTTGAAGCTGGTTCGTTCGTTGGTGCACGCGTTTTTCGAGGGGGGGGGGGGGGATGTTCCTTTAAACCTACGTTGCTTTGGCATAGCTTACGACCCCTCAAATTCCCGTGCATCGAGGATGTTGTGTTCCGATGCTACCCAAGGAATCTTGTCCTTTTTTCGCCGGCAGGGGTTGTATTTTCCCTCTCCCTCCCCCTCTTCTCGTCCTCATTTTTGCGTCTTTTTCGTTTGGTGCTTCTGGTGAACCTCGATGCGTGCACAAAGCAGTCCTCTCGAACGCTCTCCTCCCGTTTCCCCTACTCGCGAACACGTCCAGGTGCTGTGGGACGTGGACATCGACGAAGGGAAGGTGTTGTACGGACCGGACTACCTGGATGTGTGGACCATCGATCAGTTCCACCAGATCGGAGCGTCGGACCTTGAGTGCGATCACCTTCACGGTGAGTCCTGATGAGGTTGTTGGTGGTGCGGCAGTTCGGTGATAGCGTCGTTGTTGTGGTGCACCATCTGTGCATTTGAGACGTGCATGTGTATAGTTCGAAAGCGTCGTCAGCGCATGCCCTCCCGCAAGACCTCTACCCCCAGCGAAACGGCTTGCTGCGACTACATTTCTGTTTTTGTGTTTATTTTTCCCAATACCTGGTCGGCACGGCGTACAGCAGTACCAACATACCAGCCGTGCAACATATACAGCATCGTGGTAGAGTAGAGGAGCTCCACGCACACCGTTTGGGTGGGTGGGTGGTGGTGGTGGTGGTGGGGGGGGGGGTGTTCGTTCTCTCGAAAGTGCGGTGTGTATGTCGTGGACCAAAGCAGGCGGCATCTTGATTTGCAAACCCACTGTATCTCGACCTCGACAAACTGCTAAGCTGCTGCTGTTGCTGCCGCTTGCCGCCGTTTTTTTCGCTGGTCGAACCAACCCGCTACAACACACAAAGACGGCATCGGGTTCGGCATCACTCACTCCATGGTGACGATGATGTTCGAGAACAGCCTGCAGCTGGTGAACCCCATGCTCAGCTTGCCCTACTGGGACTTCACGATCGAGGGCGCCGTGATCGACCGCGAGTTCGGCGGCGACTACACCAGGCTGACGGAGGCCTCTCCCCTGTGGACTGCGGACTGGTTCGGCGGCGTCGATAAGAAGGATTATCAGGTAGCTGTCGTTGTCGTCTCCGTCATCGTTTGCCGGAGCTGCGTAGATGGCTTGCCAGGAGCTGCTTGTTCACGTTATTAATGGTGTTTTGTTTTGTTTTAGTTGGCGGTTGTTGTTCTTGTAGCCGTTATTTTTGCTGCTCTGCGGCCCCTGAGATTGTTTTGCTCAAGGCAGATTTAAGCACCCCGCCCCAACTCAAAATTATTCTGTGAAACACCCTGCGAGGATTCAAGCGTTGACAGTGGTGTCCGCGCCGCGTTACACATACGCGCGCACCCGCTGACCGTTTTTTGTTTTCTTTCTGCGAACTGTCACAGGTGAAGGATGGGCGCTGGGGCTCCGTTCCGGTGCCCATTGTCGACGAAGACGAGCGCAACTTCCTGGGTGCGGACGTCTACGGACGGATGCGGTCTCCCTGGAACGTCAACTCCCGGCCCTACCTGACGCGCGGGCTGGGAGAGATGTGCGGGCTGGACAGCACGGAGTTTTGTGAGTTTTTGTTGTTGTCAATACTGCTGTAGACTTGCGGCGCTGCTGCTGTTTCTTTGTTGGTGTTGTCTGAAATCTGTTTGTCGGGGTGTCAAGTTAAGTGTACATGCAGCGTGAGTCAGGGTTTTTGTGACACGAGAAGTCATTCTTTGACGACGACTGGAAACTCTTGAGGTTGGCACGTAGAAATCTCTCTCCGCCCGCGTGAAAAATTGCTGAGTCTGTACCGTCCTCCCTCCGCTGCCCCGCTGCACATGACGCCTGGCCACGATTTCGAACCCCAGACTCTTGGCCTGGATGTTCTAGCCACTACGACCTCCAGGACAAGTTCAACTCGTACTACGGCTACACGTGGTGGTCTCAGTACGGCCCCCACGGTCCCGTCCACGTCTGGGTTGGCGGCAACGTCGACTGCAAGGTTCGTCCCCGCAATAAGCATTTTGCCCCGAACCCCTATAACTGAAATTTGCGTAAATTTGCCAAGAAAACTAAAAACAATACTCTACGCATGGAACGTAGAAGTTGTCTCTTACCATTTTTATTTTTGCGAGGGTAGAGATGATATGATAGTAGTACGATAAGCACCCTTCACATACTTCGGATGCAACTCCAGCGAGAGATAGTGGGCGAGTAAGCTGCCGCCGGTTGCATAATCCAAACCCCACGTTGTCTGCTGTGAGGAGAAGAAGCGACCACCCAACCGTCCGCCTCGCAATCACCCCCCTCGGATCAGCACGTACCGTTCCCGACAGGTCTGTAGGCATGACAACTGTTGAGTCGACCGATCTACTATTCACTATCGTAGTCATGTACCTAGCCATCGCGTTCGTCGCCTTTACACGGTGGCCCCTCATCCTTCCCTCCGATCTGCCAATACAATATTTATAGCGAACCTTGTTCTTGGCCGCCACGTTGCCTTTATCTCATCTTCCCACGGCACCCCCCTGTTTCTTCCCACCCCATCGCAAATTCGACCCCCACTACGCGCAACAGAAAAACCTCGACAAGGTGATGGCCATCGTGGGAGAGGAGTACCGGTTGAGTATGTCCGGGTACCTGTTCGTGAAGCGCAAGGACATGTTCCGCGACGCCGTGTTCAAGTGCCGGGGCTTCGCAGACTTCAGCGTGTCGGAAGAGGACATCATGACCAGCGGGCAATGCGGCTGCCTGGACTACGACCTCCACGAGGTTTGTATTTTTTTTTTTTTGTAAGACGGGAATCTCTTATGTCGCGTCATGGTAAGCTGTGCGTCTGTCTGTTGCTTTATAGTAGAAACGACCACGCGTTAATGAAGGGCGGTCGTCAGCATTTACGCATTCATAAAACGGTTGATAGGTTCGACGCAGATGTTTTTTTGCCGCTTCTCGTGCAAAATTCAGTATAATAGGGCCTGCCGCTTCTTGCATGTGTGGCGTGTGTGTGGCGCTGCCCTGCGCGCAGAGAGAGACTCTCTCCCCGAAACAGAAGCAAAATAAATTTGTGAGAAAGACGGATTCAAATGCCGTCTGTACCACTCCAACAACGTGCCAAACGGCAGCCGATAAATGGGTACAACAGGGCAACCATGAACAAAACGCGACTCCGTACCGGCGCGAACGACCCTTGTTTGACGTGTTACCCCTCAGGGCGACGACTACAAGAAGGTCTGGACCGCGTTCACATCGTTCTACACGTTCGACCAGGAGTTCACCGAGGAGGAGATGAGGATATTGGCCATGCAGTGGTGCAACGGAGAGGTCGGGATGGGCGAGTCCTCCCAGTCGAGCAGCCCGCTCGACCCCACCTTCTGGTCCATGCACCCGACCATGGAACGACTCTTAGTGTGAGCGCCGCGAACGATTTCTCTCTCTGTTTTTGTCTTGAGCTTTTTTGGTGAACTACTGTCATGCGCGAGCAATTTATGTTATTTTTTTTTTATTTCTCTTTCAGTTTTATCATGATAATGGTGTCGCGCGAGAAAATGTTGTGTCCTGTTGCCCAGCTCCACGCGCTATTGTGTTGTTCAATTTGCAGGAATTCGAAGAAAAGCATCGATCACGCCATTCTTTTCCCGCGGGGAACTTGTATTCTTTTTTTTTTTATTATTATTATTATTATTATTATCGACAGCAGTGCAGTGGTTTCATGCCAACTCTCCCTCATCTGGATGCGTTCTCGTGCTTGTTGTTGATGCCTGCTGCGGCGGCGGTGACGGCGGCGGCGTAGTTTCAAGCTCCTCGCTGGAACTTTCACTGACTACTCTTGGCCCGACGAAGTGGGGACGTGGGTTGGCATGGACGGTGTCGAGTACGACGTCATTATCTCGACGCGCTCTGATACGGTGCGTTTCTTGATTTTGCTATGGATGTTTCAGCATGTTGTTGACCGGTTCCTGGTGCTGTTGCTACATACATTGTGCCATGTTTTAGCATGTTGTTTGACCGATTTCATGGTGTTCTTGCTATGTATCACGACACGCTAATTTTTTCCGCCTGTATGAATGTTCTTGGGTGTGATGCATGATGTTGTTTGTAGATCATTTTTCCGTTGCGTCTTGCCTGCCCTTCTGTATTGGACTCGCGTTGCTCAACCCGTCTGCCCCTTCCCCCGCCGTTTTCTCCTTGTTGTTGCCACCGTCACACAGTGCAACGGTCACCGAGGCAGCGACATCTTCCCGTACGACATCATGACCGACGTCATCACGCCGCAGTTCACCTTCTACGGCAAGAAGGCGCCGAACACGATGAAAAACCGGATGCTTATCAAGCTCTTCGACCCTAGCGAGAACGCCCTGCCCTTCATCTACGACAACTTCGAGTGGTCGCACTGTTCCGAAATGGTGCGTGTTGTTTTGCCCCTTGTTTTTCGGTTCTACTGGGTGCTGTTCGCGAGTAGAATTCCGAGACGAGCGAAGGGCAGTTGCCTCAATTGCCTAGTTCTTCACTCTGTGGTACGTCTCCGTCGGGGGCTGTCAACCACGGTGGCCTGGCCAAGAGGGTCTGGTCGAACGCACTCGAATGATGTATTCACCCGAAAAGGAAGACCCAAACGAACTTCGCTAATACAAGAATTATCGCTGGTGTCTGTGTCCGTGTGTGTGTGTGTTTGGCAGGGCTACGACTTCTCGGACTTCTTCGACACGAGCACCATGAAGTCCGGCCCCAAGGGCACCGCAGCTTCCGACGAGGAGAAGAGCGAGTCCACCCGCGTCGAGGGCTTCGGGCTATTCAAGCAGGGTGACATCCACCTGCAACCAGGCTTCGACCCGCCCGTGGCGGTGAAGAAGATCCTCGTGGAGCGAGAGGAGAGGGCCAAGCAGCAGCAGCAGCAGCAAGAAGAGACGAAGCACGTCTGAGTAGGAGTCATCCGGGTCTTTCGGCGGTGGCGGTGTGTATCTTTGTTCCGGGCCAGCCGCTGGCGCGAAAAGCTGTTCGGGGCTTGCTTGGAAATGATTTTCGTGTCTCGCTACACCCACCATGGTTTTGATGATGCCATGCGAGGGTTGCGGTGGGGGGCCTGGTAAAAAGGCGATGGGCACGGCACGGAAGTTTGATCTTTCTGTTGTTTCTGTTGCCGTGTGATCTCGTTTCTATATTTAGTTCGTGCTATTCCGCGCGCTTCTTACCGTTTTGTGTGTCCTTGTGTCCCAGGCCTTCTTGATGCCAGCGGTCTCTCGTGTTTGGGGCTCCTACACCCCGTCGTCTGTTGAGAACAGCTTTGGACTTTCGAAGCAGTAGTCATCATTTCTGAGCGGGGAGAGCTCCATGTGTCAGGAGGACGGAAAGGAGCGGCCCTGCTGCTAGTGCTATGTAGCAAGAGTTGGATTTTGAGTGGTAATGTCCCATTCGTAATTATTTTTCTTATGTAGCGTATCATACTTTCTTTCTTTGATATTGTCATGCATAATACAAGTAACCGGTTGGCTTTGTGGTCGTTTGTCTTGTTGGAGTGTGAGCAGGTTTTGTGGGGTTGGTTCTCGCCGAGAGCGGCCTTGGTTATTGTTTGCCTGTTCTGTGTTGGTGTTAGGCATCCCGGTGATTGGTGGGTGGTGCTCGTTTTTGCTTTTCCTATGTAGCATAGGAGTTTTGTATCTTGAGGTCATGCTTTCACGCGTTTCTCGTCTCGGACGGCTCGCGTGCTTTTTTGTGTGTTGGTTGCGAGACCGTCGTCTGTCGACGTCGTTCTCGCACTCTTGTAGCGACTGGTTCTACTGCTGTTGTTGCTGCTGCCGGTGTCGCAGCAAGTTGGGTGGGAAAAGGCGTGCGGAGGTAGGCTCCACACTGCTTGCTTTCGTTTTTCACGGTCACCGAACGATTTGCGTCTCCGTACGTTCGAGGGGGGCGCGGGCGGGGTTCAGATTCGGGAAAATCCCGCGTGAAATGCCCATGGTCTTCAATTATTTTGACGCTGCTCTCGGCTGGAGTGTAGTGGGCGCTTCGTTTTGCATCCGATAGGTATCATCACCGCTGGAGGCGGCGTGCGTGATGCTGGAATCGGGAACATTCGCCTCTATTGGAGAGCCCGGAGCGAGTTGTCCCGCAACCCTGACCAAAACACCCTGACTCTAAACACCCTCCCACAGGGAGCAGGTAAAACAGTGTCGACGCCTCCTGCGGTGGACGGGGGTTGCTAACTCTATTTGCGGGTGGGCGAAGCACGATACCCGGCGTCTGGATAAATGACGGTATAAACTCTGGAAAAGTCTTGGGGGCTCTTTTCTTTGCGTTGGTTTGACTCTCTCTCCCGTCGTTGTAAACCTGCAACGTGCGCTAGGGGCAGGATTGGAGAGGCAGCTTGTTCTTGAAGTGAAGACGCGTTGTCGGCCGCATCTATTGTATCTCTGTCGGCGGTGTTTTTAATGGCGAGGCTTGCGGGCCGGTGTCCTCCGGCATGCGCATACATTTGCAAATTTTGCGCTTCGTGATGCCGTGAAGGATATTGCGAGGGTTCTTACTCTGTTTCATCATCAGGCTTTTTTTCTGTCGTGCCGTAACACAAGACATTTCATGTTTTTTTCTTTGATTAAGCGAGAAGGTGAAGGCACACGATAGGCAGGGAGCTTGGAGGCGGGAGGGAAGTTTCTTCCAATCAGTAACGTATGATGACGACGTGGCTTAACAAAGATCCTGCACGATGTTCAAATTTGCTCGTTTGTTTCTTCATTCAGCAAGAGACGTTAGTTTCACCGAAGAAACAACGGCTAAAGAAACGCGCGAAATCGCTCGCTGCTGCTGGAGGAAGTGGCCGTGCGCAGCCTGCGAACTAATGTATTTACCGTCACAACACGTTTGTTTGTCCATGAGCCAACTGAATTGTTTAGGAAGCGTGCCAGCTGGCCTGTTGACACGTTGAAACAGGCACGCGTTGCTACCGGCCGTCGAGACTCATTCTCTCTTCCCAGATGACCGCCCGGTGGTGCATTCTCTCCCCCGCCCGCCGCCGCGGCACTGCTGCTTCTGATTGAATGTATTCCCACCAGGTTGGCTGAAAAAAACAAAACAATACGGAACCAATTGTCAGCTGCGATGGCCGTGCGAACACAAAGTATATTATATTTCCGTGAAAATTATCTTCAAGTAGCTCCAATGAACCTTGTGCGTTTCGTGGCCATTTTCACTTCCCGACGCTATGCACACTGTCAGAGGCTTTCATTTAACGCTATCGATCCAGATGGTTTACGCATGCTTTAGCGTAACAACAGCGACTGGCTAGGGTCCAATTAGTTTCGTTTCATTTCATGGTCAGTTTCATGGTATCTCAACATTTGAGTCAAGGGGGGGCTATCAAGGGGGGGCTAATCAAGGTGGGACTAGCCATACATCGACTCATAGGTTGATAGCTCTCTTACCGTGGTCAAAGTCTCTTCCTTCCGAATTGTTCGCAGTGAGAATACATGTGAGTGAGGGACGGCGCCCTAGAGGGGGCCCCGTCACTGATTCAGGTACACCCGAAGGTATGCATACCCTGGCCCTCCTCAAACCATCGCAAGATGGAATGAATCTCAGTATTTCGCGCCCGTTCATGTTACCTTGACAACACAACATTTGTATTTCAAGACTCCACATGCGACGAGGAGTTGTGCAACAATAATAGCGATTTTGGTAATGTAAATGCCACGGGGGGGCTGCGACAAGTTGGTTAAAACAATAATACACGGGGGACTTCGGTCAATGTTCCATCTTGCGCAAAAACATGGCAATTCATTTCCAAAGTACGAGCACCCGGGGTTCTGAATATATATCGATGGCAACCTGGCTGGGCGTACGTGCGTAGAAGAATCTATCTTTCTTTTGGGCTACACGATCGGATTCACTTCCTTCCACAGGCAAGTACAAGTTCCGGACTTTATCCTGGATCTCGCCGAGGGAAGGCCACTCGAGAGTAGAAACCAACAACACCCACCCCAGGTTGGGGGCCTAGAGTATCAAGACTGGGTTTAGTTTGTTTATCGGAAGTGAAATCGGAGAATGTGTGACATGACACAGCCGGCACCGGCAGAGACAGCATGATGCGCGCTTGCTTGCGCTCTGCCCAACCCCAGGTAACACCGGGGTGACACACTGAGGCACCCAAGCCAGCAGCACCAGAGCGCCATCACCACCTTGCGACGACGCTCTCTGGGGCTGTCGCGGTGCGGCGAATCCTCCTTCTCTCTGAAAATACCTATGTAGGGAATCGCGTGGAATTAATTGTTCGTCCCACCTCCGGAAGTTGACAAGATGTGTTTCCGAAGAAAATCGGACACCACGTCGAAGGAGTACCTGGCAAGGATCTGCTACTGCTGTACATGCGCAGACAGATGGTGTGACGATGGCAGGGAATGAACAGGCGGGCACTTCGGGTAGAAAGGGAAACAATGCGTGGCTGCTATCAGCTCCCGCGCCAGCGCTTGAAAGAATAAATAGTCTAGTCTACACCAAGGGGTTGTGAAAATTAACCACGAATTTCACTTGACTTCAACAGCACACACACGCACTTACAAAATAAAAAACGAAACCAAAAACAATCATCAACAGCAACAACAACGACGACAACAACGACGAGGCATCCGAACACAACAGTTCAGGTGCTTGCTGCCTTCCGCTCAGACCGGCGGACCAAAGCGCCGAGTTCGCGTTTGTTCATCAACTGCTTACTGCCCTGTATTGCCGTAATCACACAGCAAGCCAGCAAGCCTTGCGTGTCCGCCACCATGGAGTGCCCAAACCCACAGCAGCAGCAGCAGCAGCAGCAGCAGCAGCAGCAGCAGCAGCAGCAGCAGCAGCAGCAATGGTCACATCGATTGTGATGCGGCAACACATTCTGCCAAACTGCAACATTGCCAGTTGAATCCCTGCTGCTGCTGTAATGAGCAGCGGAACTGGCTCTACACACTAATAATTCTCCCGCACCGGCAGCACCAGTGCAGCTGGTGTTTCTTCGCGATTATGAGCGCCACAAACCGCACACGCCGCACAGCACGTGCAGGTGCGTTGTGCCCGGGAATCTACCTGGGTAGGGTAGGATTGTGCGGCAGATGATGATCACATGTAACGGCACACGAGTGCTTCCGCTGCGGCTGCCGCCGCTGCTGCTGCTGCAACTTGCCGGACGTCGGAAAGTTGAAGTCTCAAGGTGGCACACGCAAGCCTGCCGCTCCTTCCGAAGCTCCTCACGCCGGGCCCCTCCTTCGCAAGCTTGTAGTGACGTGTCACACACCACCTTCTAGTAGAGGTCCGGTGCTCTGTGAGGGTGGGTTTGAGCTGCGCCACAACAAACAAAAGGGAAGCGCAAAAGCTTTGGCCAAGATTTGGGCATGTAGGGGATACACAGATGCGCGCCGACCCTCTTAAACCTACTCCCTTGTTTCTTGTTCCTTTCTGCGAACCTCCCACATGTGCCTCTCATGCTCAACGCCAGTCTGCTCCTCCGTCTGCCGTCCTGTGCAAAAATCACAAACACAGCCAAACGCGGGGATGGCTAGTCGCGACATGGATATCCTTGTTGTGGGTGCTTCTGGGTTTACTGGGTGAGAGAGAGAGTTCGTGTCATCTGTCGGCTCGTTTTTTTCCCGGTCTGAAATAACTGTAAGTGGCAGATGTAGACTTGGGGCCCACAAATAAATCTGGTTCTCAGCATTGTTGCATCTCCCTGCTGTGTACAGCCGTACAATAGATGTATGTCCATCCGTGCGTGCGCCGTGTGACCTGGGCAAATTTTGCCCCAAGACCGGCTTCTCTCTTTCTCTTTCAATCATGCATTGCAATCCTGTAGGCGCCCCTTTGTATGTTCTAAACCTATTGTGCATACATTCAAGGGTACAGCCCTCCGCATTTTACCCCACCGGCGGGGTATTTTCCTGTTTCCCCACCGGTGGGGAATATAGCCAAGCTCTTGCTTACCCCACCTGTTGCACCTCGCGGGTTAGCCATAGGACATAGAGGAGGGTGTTGGCGTGTTGTAGGGCTATTGTGGGACCTATCATGAAGCGGAAACGGTCCAATTTAGGTGCCGATACGCCCGGTGGGGCATTGGGTGGGGTACCGTAAATCTGTAAAATACTTTACATACCGGGGGTTATCGAGCCTCCTTGCACGACCCAACCGAGATCCGAAACATGAAGCACGCATGCGACAAAAACAACCACCGTCCGTGGTAAGAGTGGGGTGGTGGGTGCACACCTACAGCACAGGGCATTGGGGAGGAAACAGCGGAGTGGAGGAGTAACTCAATTTTTCCCTCCACGCCTCCCCAACCCCGTGAAGAGCAGCAGCAACACCGAACACGGCCTTCTTGCGCACGGCTTTCATGCGCCGGCCTTGCAGCAGCACACAAGCATGCTGTAGGTATCCTGTTTTAAGTGGGTGGGGAAAAGGGTTTTTGACTCTGTCTCTTTTTCCCATACTTTAATCCTATAAAAGAAACAAAACATCCTTCTCGCCAGGGTTACGTGGTGCATTCTAATGTGCTGTCATCAATAGAGGACACCATGAAGAGGCGTCGTGCGTGCTGGCACGTTCAGGTTTGCTACGCATACGGGAGCTGAAATATCGAAGGTCGCAGCAGCCGCTGAAACAAAACAGTCCGAAACCTGCACCGGAACCAAGCGGCATCCAACATTTGTCACAGCCGTGCTCACCGCCACTGACCGTAAACCCCTGAAAGGTGTCGGCAGTAGATAATAGTGGCATCAGCTACTGCTGTAAACCCGCAGTGTAGGAGGTTGGGGTCAGTGGCGGCGAGCACGGCTGTGACAAATTTTGGCTGCCGCTTGGTTCCGGCGCAGGTTTCGGACTGTTTTCAAAGGCTGCTGCGACCGTCGAAATATTTCAGCTCCAGTAGCAAACCTTAACGTGCCAGCACGCACGACGCTCTTCATGATGTCCTCTACGGATGACAATAAAGTGCGCCACCCAACCCTCAAACCCCTGAGGGACTGCAACTGCAAATTGACGCGGCGAAGAAGTTTACTGATAAGTGGAGATTGTCTGCCAACGTTAAGAAGAGTGCCGTCATGGTATGCAACGAGGACAGGGAGGAACCACTAGAACATAGATGGAAGTGGGGGATCGAGTACACATACCTCGGAGTAGAGGTCGCAAAAGACTGCTCGTGGAATGCGCACATGTCCAAGGTAGCGGAAAAGGGCAAAGCACGAGCAGGGAAGCTGCACCCAATACTCGCAAACCGGCACCTCGATACACGCATCAAATTGACGGTTTTGAAGAGCGTAATCGTACCGCCGCTAGAGTACGCCGGAGAAGTATGGGCAGGAAATAAGAAGGTAGTGAAAGAACTCCAGGCGGCGCAGATGAAAGCAGCGAAAATCATCCTAGGATGCTCCAAGCGCACAAGTAATGCAGCCGTCAGGGCAGAATTGGGGATCCAATCCCTACGGTCGGGAAGAGACGCAAGGAAGCTGACATGGCAGTATCGCATGTGCGGGATGGGAGAGGAGAGGTTGCCGAGAATAGTATGGGAGGCTAAGTGGGCAAACAAAAAGAGGGGTAGACACCCCTCGGAATGGGTCAAGGTTGTAGAGGACGTATGGAAGGGGTTCGACATCGACGAAGATGAAATGCTGGAAACGGAGGGTCTACAGGGGTTCAAGGAGAAGATATCTGTTGCTTGTGCCGAGAGAGAAGAACAGAATCTAAGGAAAGAAACCGAGGATAAGGAGGGTCTAGAAGTGTACGGAATGTTGAAAGAAGGAATAGGATTCAAGGATTACCTACATGGACCAATGGATGCAGGGACAAAGCTTTAAGGTCAAATTCAGGACCGGGGACATAGGCCTTCGGGAACGTCGACGAAGACGACAAGTTCAAATGTGATTGCGGCTTCGAATGCGAAGACCCTGCTCATGTAGTCGCGGAATGTCCGTGTTACGAAGAGGAGAGGGAAGTGTACATGACTGAGCTGGGAAAAATACAAGGGAGGTACAGGGAAATGTTTGAGGCATGGAATAGAGAGGAGAGGACGGTAGCTGTACTGGGGAGTAGGAAGTGGTTTGAAAAGGCGGGAAGGGATATCGTTAGGATAGACAGACTAGGAAGACGTTTTTGAGCCACCTTTGGCAAAGTAGGAAGGAACGATTGGCCATCGGTGATCGGTCCTGTGGGAACAATGCTCCGTCCTCTCGAGGACGCGTGGTCAATGGTCTACCCGCTAAGACATGCAAAACATAAGAGTAAGCTAACCCTCAAAACTGGCCTTTTTTGAGCGCCTCCTGTTTTGGCTCTTTTGACTTGAATTTAGAATCATGTGAATTATTATCTTGGCTTCAAAGGAGGCGTGTGGAGGTAGATGCATGAAATATATGTTTTGAACAGCCTCTACTGCCGCCCTGTGCGGGAATCAACGAGTTCTGTTTTTTCGCGATGCCTTCCGACTGGTCTTGTGTGTCTGTTGTGCAATCTCTGGTGCTCTTGCGTTTATTTTCAAAATTAGTCATCATCAAAATTCTTCTTCTTCACCCCCTTAATGGTACCACTCTGCCGCTGTTTCTCTCATAAGCAACGATCCGAGGATACACTGCATGGGTCCCCCGCAGTGGCAAGAGGAAGAGTGAACGAATGCCACAGAAGGCGACCTTTTCCCAACCGATACGAAAGCCCCCATCATGGCGTACGCGGTGCATGCATATAGACGTGGGTGTTGTTTATTGATGTGGCGATACGAAGCCGCACTGGCTCTACTTGTATCGTCGGCTTGATCGCGTCAAAGTAAACGTTTCGTCGGCAACGATGCTGTCCTTGTGAAAAAAATTGCGCGATTTTCATTTATTTCACGGGTTCGGGGCGGGGAGGCGTTCGTGGCATGTGTTTGGGTTGTCCCACCCCCCCCTCCGCTGCAGTTTCCTCCCATTGCCTCGTGTTGTGCATGCATGCATCGACGACCGACTCGCACCGCAGCAGCGGCTTCGTGTTTTCGTTTCGTATCTGTGGGGTCGAACAAAGGTTCGATGCCCCCCACCGGTGGTGTAGACGGACACCAACCAGTGACGTTAACCCAGCGGCCGCGGCCGCACCCAAACTGGACGGTTCCGGCTTAACGATAGGTCCCACGATAGCCTGTATCACGCCAACACACGCCCCCACGCCCTACGGCTAACCCAACCATGAGGAACGAGACCCAGCCGGTGGGTTAAATACCGCAGCGGGTGGGGTAATTAAGGGTTAACCCACCGGTGGAGAAAATCAGGAGTTATCCCGTGGGTGGGGTAATTAATCGTCGGTGTGACGAATGTGTTAGCAACCTATATGCAGCTGTAGCGGGGAGAATAAGGAGTTTCCAACCGGTGGGGTAGCCGTCGGTGTGCCGAATATGTTTATCCCGTGAGCCCCACAAGGGGGAATGTTGTTCCGTACGGCGTACCACGGTAATCAGGGCCAAGCAAGGCTCCGAATGCTCAAGTGTGTAGCGTTGACGCAAGTGACACGAAGCGCGTACTACTGACGCAAGTGGCAGGAAGCGCGTACTGCCTTCAGATTACCGGCGATGTTTGCGGGACGTGCCGGAGCCCAAAATAGACTTACCATGTCATCCATGGTCGTGAAACATTCCCCAAGAACCTTTTCTGGGCAAGAGTCAAACACGTTTTACCTTACCCGATTTGGCTTAAAAAAACAGATTCAACATAAGCTTAATATCCAGCAGGTTCCTTTCCCCCACTCGTTGCACAGGCTTTCAACGCACCCCTTTCCGAATGCCGTGGTATTGTCTCCAACGGGTAGATGGGCTTCTTTCAGTGATTGCGTTTTCTAGAAGTACGTTCTGAGGGTGGACGGGAGATGATCACTTGGGGCGTCGTGCACGCCCTGAGAAGCCAAAGGGGGTGGGTCCCTGAGCTCGCCCCTTTCTTCCCCTTTGTTCATCGTGTGTGACGCAGGGCTCATGTGTGCAAGCGGCTGGCTCGCAGCGTCGCGGATGGGAGCTGGGCGGGGGTGTCTTGGGGAATCGCCGGACGATCCAGGACTAAGCTGGAAGATAAGGTGCCGTTCATGTACGCGCCGTAGAGGGCTCCGCCAAGTGCTAGATGTACTCGTGTCCGACCAGTGGCTTGCTCGTCAGGGTAAGGATAGCGGGGGCGATGAGGTTTCAATCCTGAAGCAAGTGGTCTGCTCCGCAGAAGGGGCCCCGCAACGTGCATGATATGTTTGTTTGTATGGACTTGCCTGCTGGGTGGGCGATCGATCCATCCCTACCCGTCAGGATTCTAACCCCCCAGTGAGGGGCAAAAGGTTTGGGGTTGAATGACCGAACATGAGAGTTGGCGCCGAGAGCCCAAAGGATCGGATCTAAATTTTCCATCCAACCAAAAGATGGTTGCATACCCACGGATGCACTATTCTGCTGAGCCGGTCAAGTCTCCGTAGCCCTTTCTACAGTACTGTATTGTACACAGATCACTACCATTCACCAAGTTCCACTGCCGTTTTGAGTTATACACGTGTTAGACTTGTAGCATCACCATCCCCAACGACAACGACAACGGCAACGACAACGGCAACGACAACAACAACAACAACAACAACAAACATGCTGACAGGTGCTAGCTCCCCTGCGCGCCGAGGGACTGGCCGTACCCGGCGAGGAGAGCATCACCGTCGTCGACAACTCGGACGCGGCGGCGCTCAGGAAGGCCGTGGGCCGCGCGCGTCTCTGCCTTAACTGCACGGGCCCCTACCGTTTCCTGGGGGAGTCTGTTGTCAGCGCCTGCGTGGACTCCGGGTGAGGGCCAAGAGAAGCTACTGCAGCTCCGTGGCGGCGTTGTTTGGCCGCTGTTGTACGCTTGCTGCGAGGAGGACGGAAGACGTGTGTGTGTGTGTGTGTGTGTTTATACGCATGTTTTTTTTTTATAATCGGAATTCGGTGGGGTGTGCACTCTTTGCACGGTTTTTAGGTGCAGTGCGTTCAGAAGTCGGTCCTTTTTTTTTTTTTTTTTTTCGCCCAGCTGTTGGTGTGTGACAGTGTGACCGCTGTTTACTGTCTCGACCCCTTAGGTATGGCCTCTTTTTGCGGCTGGTTGTAAAGATTGGCTGGTTGGTGGTGTGCCTGCCCCTGAGTGTGGGCTCCTGCGGTGAAGGTTGCTGTCCGGTTTCAAGAGTAGCGGTCGCTGCTGTTGTTGTTTTTCGTGGTGGTGGTTGCGCTGCCACTGCTGCTGCTGCCACTGCTGCTGCTGCCACTGCTGCCGATAATGATATTGATAATGGCGATGATCATTGCTGGCGACAACAGCGCTACAGCACGACAACAAAACAACAAAACTAGCGAATATTTAATACAAAGCACTCCATAAACGCGAAAATTTGTTGACAGGACGGACTACATCGACCTGTGCGGAGAGCCGGAGTTCATGCAGCGGATGACCCTCAAGTTCCATGAGGCGGCGGAGGCCAAGGGCGTTCTCATCATGCACGCCTGCGCGTTCGGTAAGGGCTAGAGGAGTATAGTGAGTGCGTGTGGGTATGTGTCTTTTGTTTTTTGCGTCGACCGCGCTACCTGGCTGACCATGGGGCAACGACCTGCCAAACGTTGATTCCAAAAGGCCATGATGTGGGATCGCGGGAGGGGGGTCTCGAGTGTGTGTGTGTGTGTGTGCGCGCGCGCGCGCGTTTTTTTTTACAATCTACACCGCTGTATCCGATTGGCCAATGAAAATAAGTCATTTGTAACTGTAGCGGGACAATAAACACGAACACGCGTTCTCTTCTACCGACAGGGGGGCGGGGCGCAGGATTTGGACGGCGGCAGTGTCGTGCTTCTGAAGTACAAGGAGAACCCTCCATCGTTTTTAAGCACCATTGCTGTCATCTGTGTGTGTGTGTTTACTGGCATCGACCGCGCTGACTTGCCGACCAATAAAGATATGACTGTCTCGGCATTGGGCCCACTTGCTCACGTTTAGCGTGCCTGCTGCATCTCACGCGAACCATCGTGCAGATTCCGTCCCCGCGGACCTCGGGTGCCTGTTCGCCGCCAAGCAGTTCGTGAGCCCTGCCGTGTGCTCCTCTGTGTCCTCTTTCGTCACCCTCAATGTCGGGCCGTCTGGGTAAGGAAGAGGGGCCGGTTTTGCCGTTGGCAGCCTTGTCTTGTTCTTGTTTTGGTCATATAATGCAAACGTGTGTCGGCAGCAGCTACAATAGCTGCTTTGGGGCTTCCGACGGCGGCGGCATAATCACTACGGCCTCTTCTCGTGTACTGTATGTAGGCTCTGATCGCTCAACATGTGCCGATTCGCGGGTGCCGGTTCGCGGGCGTGAAACTCAGCGGTATATATATATTTTACAAACATTCAACCGCGGTGTGTGTGTGCTTGTTTCTCTCGAGATGATACCCCAATCATGTGGATTGTTGAAGTATTATTGCAGTGAGTACAGGGAACGACACTTGTTGGATGCTGGGCTTCAGTTTTTTTGTCTGGTTTAAGCCCCCACACCCTGGATTTTTTTTTTTTGATGTTTTGTGAACAGGTACTCCGGCCACGCCACGACATTCGAGGCGGCCGTGCACGGGTTCGGTTCCGCCGCAGATCTGAGGAAGGTTCGGAAGGAGGTGCAGGCCAAGTTTCCTCCCTCGCAGGCGAGAATGGGAGGACCCTCAAAGCCCAACCCGACCCTAGAGCTGTGTTGTTTGTGTGTGTTGGTTGGTTGGTTGGTTGTTGTCGTCGTCGTTGTTGTTGTCTTGCACAGTTTTACCGTTTTTGTCTGCTACACCGTCCCAGCAGAACAAGCAGAAGTGATGGCCTTTTGTTGTAGACGTGTGGTGAAATGTCGCGCGTGTTCTCCGCGTCGTCTTTTCGTCTTGTCTTTGCCTGCCTGCAGATTCCGCGTGTGGGTGCCCGCCCGGTGGAGAGAGGCGGCCCCTTCTACGAGCAGACGCCGGGGATAGAGGCGTACTGCTTCAAGTTCCCGGGGGCAGACTCAGCGGTCGTGAGGTCCACACAGAACTCCCTGGCCGGCAGAGGGGAGGTGAGGTCGCTGCTTCGGCTGTGTTCACTCTGAATGTGAATGTAGGCTGCTGAAGGGGAGAGGGCCCGCGAGGTCTAGCTCTGTGCACCGGGCCACCGGTAAGCTATTGATTGAAGGATTGGAAGCTTGGCACTTTTTGTTTGCACGGTGTTGGTTTTTGCACTGAAAACATATATATTTTTTCCCCTTCGGGGTTGGGTTTTCGTCGCTTGGCAACGACGTTGTAAAACAAGCCCCGCCCCTCGGTGTTTGCCATCGGGATTGGGTTTTCGTCGCTTGGCAACGATGTTGTACAAGAAGCCGATTCACTTCGTGAACTCGGCAACCAGGTTACCGTTTTTGTTTTTTACCTCGTTTTTTTTTTTGGCGGTAACCATAATGGTGGTCGAGTAGATCATGTTGTGCGGGGTCGAGAACCCTCACTCCGCGCAACGGGGGATGATCGCACCACGTTGTGTTAAAATGGTCAAGCTTCCTCGAGGCAGTTACACAGTGCTTACAACTGTCTCTGGAAGTGAAAGCACCAGAAAATAAATTAAGTCATACGTAGCTGTCATCCGTACACAAGGAAGTAAGCACAAGATGCCGAACACCCTTAGCAGGATGCAGCTCACCCTTCATGCGACTCGCCAAATACCTCACGGCGCTTCGCGCTTGGTGATGTGAGAGCCTGGTCCGGTGAGAACCCGGCGTGCTCCGTCCCGGCTTTGTAGGGATGCGAGGTCAATGGTCTAACGACTACGGCATGCACGACTATGAGTACACCCCCCCCCCCCCCCAA